CATACTTCACCTCTTCGGTTCCATAATCGTCTGCAACTGCATCAATAGCAATAAATAGAACTTAGACATTAGCATCGTCATTTATACTGCAACCCTTTTATCACGGTAAACTCACCCTTAGAAAGTCATCGGGTAGTGGGCACGTATTGTAGTCTTCCATGTACACTTTAATACATGTACACTTTAACTAGCTCCATGGTCTCCCATTTGGGTTCGTTGAACTCGCCCATCTTCTTGACATCGCGCCTGGAACGACACCCTCTTGCTATGGAAGTCTGACTCGCGTAAGATACCGTACTTGCCATATTCGTACTGGTTCACAGCGTGTTTATTTGTTGTCCATCTTGCTCTTATTGCTTTTCTCCTTATCCTTCTTGTGCCCCTTCCTGTCCTTCTGCGAGCTGCTGCACTGTGTTTCCGTTTCCGCCGAGATCGCTCGTCATCCGAGCTGTCGGAGCTAACAGATTCCGAGTCCGACGAAGATTCCGACGATGAAGAACGCGAGTGAGACCGACGTCTGGAGTTGCGATGGCGGTGGCCGTGTTTCCTGTCGTTCTACGCTTCCTGTTCTCCTTTTCCGTTGGGCTGCTGCTACCTTCGTCCGAGTCCTCTACCGTCCACATACACGATAAGTGCGCCACCTCCTCTCGGTTTTCAAGCTTCTGTTCTAGACCCTTTCCGCCTTGTCATGCTCTTCGTGGCGTCTATCCTTACGCTCGTGTTCGCGATGGTGGTGACTGCGCTTCGAAGAGGTCGAGCGACTCGCACTCCTACTTCTGCTGCGGCTCCGACTATTTCTTTAATGTCATCGACGCGCACTCGGCTGCGCGTACGCCGGTGGCTACTGCTCTCTCATGCTCCATCAATGTGTTGTAGAATTCAAGCCGTTAAAGTGCACATAGCGGGAGAGCAATACGGTTATCGAGTGTTTATAGCAAATCACAGTATTGTTGATCATAATGGCCGAGGAGCAGGTTGACGACACTTTAGTGGTGGTGACGTGCTCTCGCTGGAAGTGCGTGGCTACAGCTGTCAGACTTTTGATGAACCGTAGACGGCTGGAAGCTGCATCAGGAGTCGCACCTGATTCCATGGCGTGGGGAGAGCGACGGCGACCTGCGCGTGGATCGCTTCGACGCGAGGAATCTGTTG